GCAGAGCAAATGGCATTACTGAAAACTATGGCAAGGCTGCAAGCTTGGTAAGAAAATGACAGTAATGTTGAGAAGGCAAAGGGACAGAGAGAAAAAAGAAAGTTGTTTGGTTTCTTTTTTTGCCGTGGTAAGTCAAAGCCTATCAGAAAAACAAGCAAGAGGGGCTGACCAGTGAGGAAAAATCTAAACCATTTTGGACCCAGAAGGTCCCCAGAGCTTATGGCAGCATGGTGTCAGGTACCTCACGGGAAAAGGGAAAGGAAGAAAATCAAGTAGACTACAGCAGAAGTATTTGGAAGAGGAGAAACCATGTAAGCATTAAGTCTGCAGACAAATCAGAGGAAAGAAGCAATCAGCACTGGTTTTGGAAAAGGAGACTGAAATGGCACAGACAAGGAAGATCACAAGGATCTGCTGTGTGTGGACAGGTGGCACATCCTCAGTGAGCCAAGCTGGGTGACAGAGGACAAACGCTTGACTGAAGGCATGCCCGGGAGCAAGCAAAGAGCAGAAACATGGTATTTCAGAGTGCAGAGTCAAAAGGAAGGGAGGAAAACAGAAAAAATGGGCTCTTGCAGCCTGACATGAAGAGGTATTGCCAGATGGGACACCCGGAGATGTGACAAAAGCAGAAGTGGGACAGATGGACGAAGCTTTACGTGACTAAAACTGTTCCTAGAGAAAACAGGAAGTCTAGAAAACCACCACGAACTGTGCCAGCTTACCTTTCTGGTGATTATGGTGATTTTAGGCACAGTTGCTTCTGCAAAGGCAAACAGCAGTTTTGCACCGTGACGTATGATTCCACCGTACTCCTGAGCTGTGCCTGCAAAGGGCAAATAACGTTTGTTCACTCCAGGGAATGCAGGTGGTGGTGTTCTGTTAGGCCACAACTGACAGCTTTGCAATTGTGCTGGGATTCCAGAGAGCAGGACAGAGCTCTCTGCAGTGTGACACCCCTACATTCAGCGCTGGTGAACAGGTCGGCCCAGCACCTCTGTCTGACTGCTCAACAGCATAAGTGCATGAACTGGTCCTGGCCCCCATAAAGCCCAGCAAAGCTGTGTGATCTCAGAACACACTGATATCAATATCAGTGGCATAGTTAGGCACTTACTTTATTTTCCTGCCATTTATTGCATATTTTAATCTCCTTTTCTGATGACTACTGCACTTAGAATACAAAGTCTCTGTCCCAGAAAGTAGTATTTTAAAACTTAGCTTATTTAACTCTACTGTAGTAAAGGTCTTCTCGCAGAGTTTTCGAAATGGGTTTTTAACACCACCACCCCCTGCAACGATCTGAAATGGAATGGCAAGGCATACCTGGCAGAAATCCGGGAACATCAACAAAAGTGATCAATGGTATGTTGAAAGCATCGCAGAACCGAACAAAGCGGGCTCCTTTCACAGAAGAATTTATGTCCAGGCACCCTAAAGTTAAGAAAACAGGCTAAGAAGTTAACAATTCCAGTGATCTGATAATGGCAGTAATTCAAGGCAAAAATCACACTATTTTAGCTGTATTGTTTTCTTCAAACAAAAGCTTATCTGGAGGTAATGTGAAGATAACCCACATTGTTGTTTTGCTGGCTTAGAACAAAGATTACAGTACAAGCTACATTCAGCATATGCACAGACTTCATATCCCAAATACTCTTGTAATTTAAAGTATTTTTCTGTAATTTTCTCTTGATACTTTTCAGATCAGTCATACTGAAAGGCTACAGAGTTCTCCATTTAAAAAAAAATACATGGTCCACTGGTATTCTGAGAAAGAAGCATTTTTGGTAAACACACTGCAAAGTATTCCTGTTCTGCTCCAGTGCCATTTAGAATTCTATGTGCTATTATTTAAACCAAAACACATTTTGTATTAAAGCAAACCATTAAAAATAATCTTCTTTTACACTGAGAATGAGTGGAGGACCATACAAAACAGTTAATTTCAGAGCCAGACAGCCTTACCAAAGCATGGAAAGAAAGATACAAACAGGGGCACAAACACTGCTAAGAGGGCTCACGCTGGGGTCTCCAGCCAGCTCTAACCTGATGCGACTTTGGGTTGGTTGCCCACTATCCCAACAGTCCTTCCGTTCATCCTGGCAAATCCAACGACAATGTTTCTGGCATAGGCAGGCATGATCTCAAAGAACTCCCTTTCATCAGCAATCTGCGAGGGTGAAAGGCAGAGCCCTTGTGAGGACGTGTATGTGTATGTGTATTTATATACACGGGAAACACAAAATCAGTCATGTTAGTATCACAACTCCTAAAACATGTCAGAGTTTGCAGAATTAAAAAAAAAAAAAAAACAAAACAGAAAGAAACCTTTTAGTCTTCATTGCAGGATGTAAACAGTGCTGCACTTATGTCCTGGTTTGAGCTAAACAGAACTCAGAATTATCAAAACTACCACTAAAGGATCCCATCAGAGAATGTGCTTATGACACTTCCTCTGTAGTAAGCCCTGTTTTCCTACCTTACAATAAACTGAAACTTCAAATCAGACATTAAGAACTTCTTTCCTGCAACTCAATTATTGGGAGGCTGCACTTTTAAAGAGCAGTTTCCAGTGCTAAAAAGCAAACAGCACTTCACAGTGCTCAGAAACTCTCCATGACATGTCTAATATACAGTCTATTTCTGTGTAAGTTCAGAGCACTTTATCAAGAGAGGCCAATGCAGGGTGCTCTGCTGGGTCCATCTCCCCCATGGCTGATGGTGCAGGCAGCAGAGAAAGGAGAGAGGGCTTTATCTGCAGCAGAGGGGTGCACACTACGTCAAATCTGTCTGCACCGCAAGCCTCAGCAGCTGCGCTTCTCTCTGGGGCTGAAGTTCCAGTGGGTGCTCTGCAAAGCGGCAGCCGCTGTGTTTAATGCAGCATCAAAATTCACATGTTCAAAGGAGATCATAATTAGACGTGGAGCAGTGGCGACACCTATACATGGCTGCCTCGTGTTTTCTACTAGATTTCCTTGTTTGCAACTGCTTATGACAACTTTGCCTAGACAGACTGCAGTTTGCCAGTCATTCCTGAGACTCAGGCAAATGAAAAGTAGTGAAAAATGAAGTATTAAAGTAGTTTCATTTATTTCCTTAATACTTCTCAAATTTTCCTAATTCCCTTTAAAGCTTTTTTACAAGCTACCTTTTAACCTGGAACAGGTAGCAGTGCAATTCAGAATGGAAGAATCCAGACGTTACAAACATCCTGAGCTTGCTTTCTCCACTAAAATGAGCCTCAATGCAGCGAGTTCCAAACTGAAAGGTGTTGTTAGGTGAAAAAAGTGTGCGGGGAGAGATGGTCAAAGGAAATGGCAAAAGGGAGACATTTGTAGAGGTCCTACACAAACACAGCTGAACTCCCCTATGAAATGGAGCTACTCCTAACTTACCTGCCTCAGAACACTGCATCATCAGCCACTCAAGGTCTGACCAAGCTGAAAATGTTACCATTCAACATTCAGACTCTTGGGGTGCTCTACAGGGGGGTGTAACAGTTTCATGGGATAAAACATCATTTACAACCATGTTCTCTGCCCAAGCATTCATCATCTAAGAAGTTAAAACTAGAAAAGTGAGTACTCAGAGTTAGGCAGGAGAATGACCATCATTGCTTAGGCTGCTTTAATAAAACCTCCATTATTAATACATTCCAGTGCTGGCTTTCAGGGTTTTTAAAAAATAGTAAGATATGTCCTTCCCTACCACCCTCCCAGGAGATCTGCCTCAATTAACAAAACTTGAATGCTAGATCGTTTCCAAGTTTGAGTGCTTGACTGATAATGAAAAAAACATTAAATTCTTGTACTGTCTGTGTGCATAACTGTCTCTCAGAATAAACAGAGAAGGGTAAATCTCTGAATGCACTCAATGTAGCTTATCACCTTTTATATGACAGTGACAGAATTCAAGGCAGTCAGAAAAGGTGCAGGGAGGGGGGGACTGATAGAACTCAAGACAAGGGGGGAGTGGATTTCAACCCCAGAGAGACTGAATGACAGCATCCTTTGTCTGCACAGTTATGCATGCAGCATAAGATGTATCCTGAAAACAAGTCTTAGAATCTCTTTCATGGCCAGATTCTTCTTTTCTGCAGTTTTTGTCATCCCTTCATTCATGGCTACTACACAGGTAAGAACAGTAACTTGTGAAAGGCTTTACAAAGTCTCTTCAGTGCCATTCTGTTCATTTCTTTCAATTATTTGCATACAGAATATAACATACCCGTAGTAATCTCAGTAATGCTCACACGAGCAGACTTACGGAGTGTATGATATCCAGCATATCGTAGGCTTTAGTAGATTCAACTGGGACAACCGTGTCCAGCTCAGGAACCAGACGGTCACTGTAGAAAATAAAGACACGTGAGCAACAACATTTACAGCGATCTCATCCTTTACCTGCCCACACTGCCTTTGTGAGTTCAACACACTCAACTGCAGGAAACCTTTCCACACTTATTTTCTCTATCACCAGCCAAGCAGAGATTCCTGGGTGGAGATAACACATCCACTCTCAGCTTCTTCAGTTTAATGGCTGTGTTTAAAGAACCTTGGCTGTTACTCTGCTTCATTCCAATAGTGATGCACTTCATGCGGAGCTTTACATCTAACAAAAATGCTGCCTCCCTGTTAGCAGCTGACACTATCGGTTACCTCCATCTTTTATCGTATTAGCTTCATTAAGGACCTACAAGTGTTGGCATTTACCAGGTCTTTGGAGCCATTCACAGTCCCAATGGGGGAGGGTGTCAGTTTTTGAGCCACCACTGAGAAGGCTTCAGGGAGTTTAATATTTGTGCTGTTCCATAAAAATACTGAGCTGTATTTGTTAACGGTGTTTCTGTGGAGTTCTTCCTGAATCACTGCTTTAACAATGCTGTGATTTAATACCTTTAAAATGAGACAACACAAGGCTCTAGACACCCAATTTAAAACTGAAAGAAGTGATCTGCAGTTTGTCAAAATCAGGCAAAAACTAACACCACCACAAGCCCCAGGGCTTTCTCTGTGCTCACTGACATACACAGGAACAGAGAGGCACAACTCCTTGCCAAGAGAGTAAGAGATAATCTGTTATTAGAATAAAACTGACAGCAACACTAAGTATTTATCCACATGATTTGTATTGCATGCTAATATTTCCATAAGATGATCCAATGAAACCTTAATTTGATGAAGGCAACTGATTTTAACACACTAAACCCCAAGCTACAACAGACCGTAAAGCCTTTTCTTGTCCACAGAGTAGATACGAATGTACTCTAAGTTCTGTCCATTACTTGTGGTATCCCAAAGGATAAGGAAAGTGGAAAATTATTGCTCCCATAAATTCAGTGCTGTAGAGCACTGAGGGAAAGTGTAATAGCATTAAAATGAATAACCACCATCAAAATGAAGACATTACCCAGATACCACAAGTTTCAAAATCCCCTTCACATCACCCCAGCTAAAGGACATTTGGAGCTTGCCAGCAGAGGCACTGGATTTGAGAGGCCGAGAACTGAGTTTCTTGCAGACCCCACAGCTCAGGAAGGGGCTGCTGCTCATTACCAAAGCAGTTCTCTGAAGCCCACGACAGTCCCAGACCAATACTGGTTTTCATTCAATACACAAGGAAAATGCACTCGATTATCAAGAATTGATCAACTGCTCCAGAAATTCATATGCATACTTCAGGCTTTAGAGGAAATGAAATCTGTTTGAAGTCAGAGACACATAAAGTCACGCCATACGATGTACAAAATGCAATGAACCAAACACCCTTCAGAGGTAAAGGACAAACTCCCCATCAGTCAGCCTGGTCCTACAAGGGACCTTCTAACCCTTCAGAACCCAGGCCACTGACGTCAAAAGTTGGAGTCGCCAAGTTACTGTTACAGAAAAAGCTTCAGCAACCAAGACTGACATTTTTCAACACCACAAAGCACCGACCCACCTAGAGAAAAAAAACCCGACAGAACAAAATCACCCCACCAGCTTCTGGATTTAATCATGGAGACAAAAGTTTGTTACACTTAACTTGCATTACTCATGGCGATTTTTTGTGGTGTGAAAATGATGCAGTAAGAAGGAAATTACTCCAGAGAAATGGGCTTTGAATGGAGCAGAGGTAAACATCAAACAGCAATTCAAAGCAAAAGGAGTCTACTAGGATGTTCGTATGTCCAGATGAAATATTACCAATGTAAGCACCAAGACCACAAATGGGACAAGTATTGGAGATGCTTCTACAAAACCAGGCAAAATTAACAAATAGGTCTGTCTTCACATGTGCAAAGACTACTAAATTCTCAAAGTTGTTAGTACAAATTATTAAGCATTTATTACATGGTGAGTCTTGTGATGTATCTGGTGCTACATAAAAGATTGTCTCCCTTAAGAAAATAAAGAACTAATCTCTTCCACCTTTGTAGCTACAACATAACTGACAGCTTCTCACAGGAAAATAAACTGCCTGTTATGAGATACATTGATAAAAGAAACAACAGTCTGGTTTGTTTTCTATAATGAAATTAAAGTATCACATTCAAGTCTGCAGAATTATCAGCCAAGGTCCCAGGCACAAAACACTCATTTATTTACATGCCTTAAGCCAGAGAAGCCACGAAATTTGGTGGGCAGAGACCACAGGTCTCAGCCAGTTTCCTCTTACCTGGGATCATAACATTCACGGACTGGAGCTGGATCACGGTTACTAAGAGGTAAATAATTAAAGAACTCTCGGAGATTAAGTAAAGCATCTATATCGTTCTCAAAGGCTCTGTGTGCGACTCCTGGAAAGGAACAGTTAAGCGGTTACTGAAATTTTTTGCCAGGTTTCATTTTTAAGTATGTACCAGTAACGATACAAAGAAGTAACAGCAAGAATTTTTAAACCCTATTAACAACCAGGAGTTTTAAACCACCAAATATGACCAGCTAAAAATATCTAGAAAATGTGTGGCTCTATCAGACTTTCCCTTAACAGGTCTGGATTGTTGATCTCGTATCTAAACCACTGGTTTATCAGCTGTCACAGACCTAGCTGGGTCCCAGCTTTCTGGAATTCAATCAAGTGTGCTGATGCAATTGTTTTGAATGACTGTGCTGCACTCAAGTTCTTTTATAACGGCTGGATCCAAGCAGTGTCTGTGTGCGTGGGTCTGGTTCATTACCAGCTCGGTTCACACAGAATTTGAGATCCCAGAGTCATTTTGAGTCTCAAGGAGATTTGTGAGTCACCAAGTTTTCCCAGAGGGGTTTAAAAAAAAAAAGCAGAGGGCTTCATCTCACATTGTTACTTGGTTTACAGTCAAGGAGCTCAATCAATCGTGTTAGGAAGCAAACAAGGGATTGTTAAGAATCTTTCAACCCATGCAATCTCTGGACACCAAACAAAAAACCCACACCATCCCAAGCCTGCGTCACGAAGCCCAGCCCTCCACCAACCATCCCACTTCTAAAATCTTCTGTGGATTTGTTACTTTGTCTTCCGAATCTTGGCATTCTCCCACACGCCCACTTTTCCTATTTTGCTTTTCATTACTAAAATGAAGTACACAGTTACTACGTAAGTACACCACTCAGCCCTCACCAGATACAGCAGTGTGCGTCTTCGCACCCCCAAGCTGCTCCTGGGTGACATCTTCATTGGTAACAGACTTAACTACATCCGGGCCAGTGATGAACAGATAGGATGTATCCTGGGGGAGGGAAAGAACCAAAAATACACAGTAAATGGTAGCCCCAAGCTGCAAAAGCACCTAAGGAAAAGCCACAGTCTCTAGAGACTTTCCCCAAAATAAGAAAACCATAGAGCAAAGGGACGAATTTCTTTAAAATCCTTAATACATTGTATTAAAAATCCACAGAAAATGCAATTATCCACAGGTTATTTGGGGAAGTTATTCTTGATTTTTCATAGGAAATAAGTCTAATCCAAAATAGAGACCATCTAAAAAAACCAAGCAAACAAACAGACAACCCACTTAATGTGGGGTCAGTTTGTGTCTGCTCAGCAGCAGGTCAGGACATACTGCACCCTTACCTTCACCATGAACGTGAAATCAGTTAAAGCAGGTGAATATACAGCTCCACCAGCGCAAGGACCCATAATGAGGGAGATCTGTGGAACCACTCCAGAACACAGAACGTTTCTCTGCAATAGTGAAAAAATCATCTCATGTTACCAAAAAAAGTAGATCTTTAAGTCTGAGCACAGATTCTGCAAGAATTCAGAGTCAGAAATGAAAGAGGACAGCTTGTTTTATTTACTGGGAGACAAATATCTGAGAGAATGTCTCGATGCAAACAGAACCACAATAACGTCATTGCTCATGTTTTGCATGTTTCTGTTCCACACATCTGATGATATACACCAAAGCAAGATGGAACATACCACCTCAGAGAGGATAAACTTCACTGAGCCTGGAGTGGCGAGAAGTGTATATGCCTGAAATGTGAATACACAGGTACACTGTTGCTCAGAGGTAGAAGCTGTAGTAAGCAGCTGTGGCAGAGATTCTTTTAAAATCAGATTCCTGCATCGGCTTGAGTTTTACACACCAACACGGATGGCATGCCGTCCAAAAAAGTCTTTACATTACTCATTGCTCAACTGGATTACAACTGACTTCTGTAACTGTTCAACTGCATCATCCCGGATCACACTAATCCACAAAACTGTGAGCATCCCACTTAACATCACACCTGCTTGCATTCCTACTGAAAGCGCAATCATGTTTATGTTCTGGGCACGCACCTTAAAGCAGTGTGTTTTGATAGGCATATAAAAGTACATCATTTCAGTGGAGAGAAAAAAAAAAGAAAGAAGAAGAAAAAAAGAGACCAGTAGCATGTCTACAGGAAGAATTATTGCGTTAGCCACAAAAATATTGTGGAAATATAAAACTTTCACCAGTCCAACCAGTACTGAATGTCCTCAAATGGCAAGGTTAACAGGTTCCACTGTACTGCCTACTGTTCTTTGAACAAACTTCTGATTTGTGTATTTTAATTTTTTCCCCACTGACCTAACATCTTGACAGAACAGGCACTTGGTGCTTCTGATCTGAGTTTCTCAAGTTTTCTTCAAGTGTTTGATTTACTTTAAGTCCCTCCTTCTGCAGTGGAAATCTTTCACCTTTTATCAGCCCTACTGAAAACAAATCTGCTGTGTGAAATTCCTAACATGTCTGTATTTCAGAGACATGGGGACAGCTGGTGGCAGATCCCAACCATCGCCACCTAACAAAACCCCCTCTGAACTACAGCATGCCAACCTCTCTCAGACAAATGGATAAACACTCAGGAGAAAGCAATCTCAATACAGGCAATCTATACATCAGTGTGAATCAGAAAGTTAAGCAGCTGTTTTGGGGTTTTCTTTCAATTAAGTAAATTGCCTATTCTTTCATTCCTATGACAAAGCCCACTATATACTGCAGTCCTACACAGCTTTTCGTTGGATCACTGTGTTTTATAAGGCTCAGCATTATCCTCGTTTAACAGATGGGTAAGTGGAACTAAGAGGTACAGCAATTTGCCCAAAGCCAAGAGAACCATCCAGATCTCACAAGCCCTCATATATGCTGCTTTATCCACAAGGTAACACTGGCTAAAATAGGATGATGACAACCAAAAAGTTTACTTACAATAAAGACAGACTCTGTCCGTCTTTGTGGATGCCAAGCTTCCTGGTCACCCAGCAGCCTACTTACCAAAAAGATATCTGCATAGCCAGCCAAGGACTCCACTCCCTCCTGGATACGGGCTCCTCCAGAGTCATTCAGCCCAATCACAGGTGCTCCAACCATGGCAGCCTGATCCATGACCTGGTGATGAACACAAACTCTTCATTATTGACCAAGCTAAGCTAAAATCCCAGAGCAACCAATCCCAACATGTACATCCCCTAGAAAAAATTCTGTGCATGCCAAACTTTGAACTGCCCACACAGTGCTCAGCTTCTCCTTTATTTGAATAAGCTATCACAGCCACTAACTGCTTACTGGGGCATCACGTTTTGACTCGTTCAGACTGCAGGCTGAAAGATACACATTTAATCCCTCTCATGACCTTGGATATTTATCTGTCTTGCTAGCTGTGTGTCTCCACAGTCACACTGCGCTATCCAAACCCTGCACTAAGTGACACAGTCACAGTTTGGACCAGAGAAGTCCAATCTGTCTCTGTTCATACGAGGTCTCAACTGCACCTTAAACACTACCTCATATATGTCTAATCTGATCTTAGAAGTTTATTGCAGTGGTGATTGTGTAATCTCCCTAAGCAGTGCATTCTAATGCTTGATTATCCTTCTTACAAGCTCTTTGAGAAGACTAAACCAAATCTTCCCTCCAGAAATTTAGAAACATTACTTCTTTCCTGATAGCAGACAGGGAAGGCAATTAACTGCTTTCTTGCCTCTGCATTCATAAACATTCAAGTACCTCAGATCTCCCTTCAAGTCTTCGTATTTCCCCTTCGTGTTTCTAGACTAGGCACCATCAGGTCAGTCACACTGTTCTTCCTGCATTCTGTTTTCTAGCCCTCTGATCATTCTAGTTACTTGCCTCAAGATCATATGGATATCCCAATAGAGGCTTAAGTGGTAGGACTGAATTCCTTACATTCCTTACATAAAATATTCTTGTTTATTAGAACCCAATGAAGACACATTCACATTGGAGCTTGGCAGTGTCTCTTTGTGTTCGGGAGGGATGTTACAGTACTGGACTGATGGGATGCTTCCTACTGCATATGTGCATCTATGATGGCATGTTTCTTTCCCAATATCAAGACTTAGCAAAGCCAAGTAGTTACTATCCAGCTCAAAGTCTTCAAGTTTTCTAGTGTTATACATTCTTACTGCTGAGAAGTCAATGCCCAAAAGTAGTTATTTTCATCAGGAGAAATGGCCCTGTGCACCAAAAACCTCGTTTCTAATTCCCTAGCAAGAAAATTCTGGAAGTTTTCACCAGCCCACACCACTGAACGCTCACACATGAAAAAGTTCTTGTCCTCTCCACCCCTGGGATTCAACTACCACCTTTTCCAGTGAGACAAGCAGGGAAGTGACAATAAACAGCCACAAGTGCCTGATAACAGAACCTCTGAGTATCAAGGTGACCTCCAAGCTGTAAAACTGTTTATCTTCACATAGGTTACTTGTTATATTTGCTTTTTATAACTACTACGCACTTCCACATAGCACTGTTTATAGGAAAAAGTTTATCCCAAGTCATTTCACATTCCTCCAGCAGACAACAGCTAGTTCTGTTATATTTGTACTTTGCATTTCTCTCCTGTCTTTTGTAGCATGGTAGAAAATACAACTTAAACTGTGTATTACTTGGAAAAGCTTCTAAAGGGCTCCTCTGTGCTAACCCGTGCTTTCACATCTTAACTGACATGAGGAGACAGGCATTTCCAGGTTGCAATGATATACGCCAGAATCCACTGAAGTCAGTCACAAAGCATTTTCTCCTATGTCATTAACACAACAGATTTGGGTTAAAAAAAAAAGGATGCTGACAACTTTTGGTTTATTTTCTCCTGTGAAGTATTACCTTACAGATCTTCTGTGCATGAGCTCCAGATAAACTACCTCCAAATACAGTAAAATCCTGGAAGGAAAACAAATTTTCAGATTAGGGAAAGAATAATTTCAGTAAAATGTTGCAAATAAACAGTATAATCCCACAATGCTCTACATTTGGTATGCTGCTCTAAAACAACCCAGCTCCCTTACTGCAGCCTGCAGATCAATCCTCTTCAATCCAAGCCTTCTTTACAAACAAAAAGATCTTTTATATACATTTGGCAGGGAATTCTATGTTAAAAATCACAAATGTAATGTCTCATTTGCTTTTTGTGTTCCTCCTTCACAAAAACATTCTCTCTTCTGATAAAGACATGTTGTTCTTCCATGAACATTATCAGTCCTGGAGTAGTCTGGAGACATTTCACCTGGGAGGAGAGTCTCACTACAAGGGGCAGCAGTAAGACAGAAACAAACGGATAGAAATCAAAAACTGAAAATACATCGCTGTTCTATATTCATGAGTTACGCTTCAAGAGTCAATCATTCTTTGATGTGTGAATCAGGGACGACGTCAGCCAAAACTGGCTGCTGGTGTTACCCCTAGGGCTGGGCAGCAAAATCTGCAACAAGAACATGAGGCCCTGGGACTGCTCCAGAAGAGATAGGGGGTATTGACACCCACTGACACCAACAGAGCCCAGAGCCAACTTGTGATGAGCTGCACTGATGCATTCCCACTGAGTCCTACTCTCAAAGAAGATCTACAAACTGTGTGGACAGAGAACAGCATGACTTTGACTAGCAGTTGAACCAAAAAGGAAGGAACATCTCAGGTGGTAGCTTGGTTTGAACGGGGAAAAAGTCTTTAAATATATATTAAAAAAAAAAAAAAAGACTCTATATCATGAAGGAGCACATTTAAATTTCTCCAATATCAAAACCACCCTCTACTTGTGTTTGTCTAAAACTGTGCTTGGCTCCTATCTTATGTTCAGGCCCACATAACAGTGTGAAGAACTACATACCCAACCCAAAAAAGACAGGGTGTACCACTTGCCCCAAGGTCAGACAGCAACAACCATTTTGGCCACGACAGCAAACTGAACAAAGGGTACTTTGTGCCCCAGAACACAGCAGCAGTTACCAATGATCTGAAAGAATGGCTTTCTTTCACTGTGTTAAGACTAACCAAGATAAAACTCCACCTATAGTGCTTCCTCTAACTTTTTTTGATTTTAATGTAAAACGTCTATCTATATATGTACATGCTATCTACTACAGCCCCTTCAACTAATCAGAGTTCGAACCTGAGAAACAATTCAAGGTTGCTCAAGTGCCCTCTGTCATTAATTCTATTCATTGCAATTCCAGTTGACATCACCAGCAAACGGCCCCTACTCCACACCTGAACCCCAGAAGCTGGTTCCCAGACCTCCCCAAGCCCTCCACTGACACTGCTGGTCTCCACAAGCCTGCAGGAGCTCATCCTCACACGTTCACCTGCACAGACAGAGCAAAGCTTGCAATTGCTTTACGTACACAGTGCTCAGTGGCTTCTCCACTCATTAACTTCTTGGTGACCAAAAACATGTTTTTGGGGGACTCCTCCATTCTCTCAGCATATTTGTACCCAATGATATTACACTGACGTAAGAACGGTTTCTTTTTTCACAACGTCCCTCTGGCTCTGCACTCTTCACTCTTTTCATCTCACTCTCGTCACAACTGCATTTCTCACCCACAGTTTTCAGAAATGCTTTCTTGCTGCTTCTTGTCTGAAGGTGCCCACAGGCTGCTATGTCTATCTTATGCTCACTGGTAGAAGGTAAACAGGTACCTTATTACCTGTCCACACTGAACTACTGTGAATTGATTTCAAAGGACACAAATGCTATTTAAAAAACAAGCAAAACCATACCTGACTGAAAACATAAGCCAGTCTCCCATTAATCCGTCCACGGCCAGTCACCACACTGTCTCCAGGATACTGCATTAAAAAACAATCAAACTCATTAAAAATAATAATTAAAAAAAAAACAACAAAAAAACCAAAGCAGCAACAATGTCCACTAAAAAACCCACGAACTTATACTGAGAACAAAGTCAAAGCAAACACCAATTCTCTGAGAGGACTGGTCTTTCATGTTTGCAGTGGGAGCTCCACAGAGATTTCACCCAGCTCTGGAAAGGAAAACCAGAGGTAATATCACATATTAGTTTTGTATGAGTGTAAAGATTAGTGAATTTTGCAGTTTCCCTTCAAATTTCAGCACATCTGGAGTTAAGGCAAATCATGTCCTTAGGAACAGGATGTACCTTTTATTAGGACCAGCTGACAATTTTGAAAGGATGGACACAGCACACAAACCTTTCCAGAGGTGTTGATACAGGGAAAACAACAACCCTGGAAAGGTCAAAAAAAAAACCTCAAATACTTCAACTTGACCTGTCCCACTTTTCACCCTGTAAATAAGGAACGAAGAAAGAGCTGGAAGAGGAAATGGAGCCTGTGAATCTTAAAGATCTGCTTGTCTACGTTGTCTCACTTTTTAGTAAAGGAAATACACAGAAGTCTTTCAAGGCAACAGTAGAAAAGGAACTTCACTCATAAGGGAATTCCAGGCATTTAAATGTTTTTTGCTGTTAAGTATTTAATTTAAAAAAGTAAAATATTATATATATTGTGCAGGGCCCACTCCGAGGAAGGCCACGCTGGACTGGGGATGTTTTTAGGCTGTGGAGACAGCACTGCTACCAACTCACGGTTCTCAGCACACAGAGCAGCAGGAAACACACCTGTAGCTCCAGCCGCTGTCTTGCACAGACAACTCCTGAAAGCCCAAGCAGCCCACAGAGTGGCCTGGATGTCAGTACAAGCCTTACTCTACCTTCAGAAAGTTCCAGGAACTGGGAAAAAATGAATGCTAAACTAATATTCCAGCTCATTAGCCACAGTTAGGTCATCTGTTGTGAAACTGTACTCTGTAAACACAATCTGCAGCTCACTGAAAGGTGAATTCTGAAGGACAAGGAAAAAATTAACCCTCTTGTCACTCTCAGGACTTTGCTGCTCCTTCTGCCTTCAGAAACATTGACTTCTTATCAGCACGGTGGATGCAGCATTGAGTAGCGTGACAAGAGGCAACATAGCAGTTATTTCAGTATGCTGGGGAACAGAGCAAAAAATTACTTAAGAGAAGATGCTTGCTCCTACACTCAGCAAGAGGGAGAAGGTCTAGTTCGACATCCTTCCCAGCACAAAGTCCCATTGGTCTCCTCGCCACTAAAATCAATACAAACCCTTCAGCTTTGCCCAATGCCCCAGCTGCTCATGGTAGAGGCCTGCTGATCCCTCCCTCATCCATAGCATGCAGCCCTGCACCCTGAAGGACCCAGAACTGATGAACTGGTTTAATAACCACATAAACAGAAGTTGTAGTCAGCATACGCTGCATGGGGCAGTGGCACATATGGTGCAGCTTCTCATCACACCCCAAACCAGAATACTCCCACAGCAAACAGGGCCTTGTGGCACAGGACGATTCACATCGAATGGGCACACCTGCGCTGGCCCCCTGCACATCCCAGCACGTCCAGTGGTCCTTTCTGTATTAAATGGCAACAAAACACTTTTCCTGTGTAGTGATTTACCAGGCATCAATGTAATGGTGAGAGATTATGGGAACCCATAGACTTTCCTTCTACGTGATGAACCTCATGTACCATGTTGGTATAGGATACATGGCCATATACCTGAAAAATGCATAGGCATGCAGATTACAGCTTGTTAACAGTAGGAATGCTTCAATTTCCAGTATTTATCAGATTTTAAGGCCCTAAAGGATTTTTGACTCTGTAGTTTGCAGGCATAAATATGGATTTAAGTTATTTTCACTGTATAACTCTAATGTTACTTGTAGAGAGGCAGAAGTATCTACTTGTATTTGTACTTCGTATCTGACTTGATTGACAAAGTTGTAACACAGCTCTGCAGCCTCCTCCATTATTAAAAATACAAATCTAAGAAAATATCCAGGGACGTATTTGAACCAAACAGGTGACCTTATAAAAAAAGTATCAAGTTTAGATAATGGAAAAGTAAACCATGTAAGCCTTTAAATGGAAACTGAAAGTGATAAAAGGAAATTCACAGAACAAACAAAACAAAAAAAAACAAAACCAAGTATTGTGGTGACCAGAAGAGCATCTTTTCAAACAGCTGGCAGGCTACAAAGAAACAAGAGTCACGTGAAATAAAAATACCTTATTCTTATCAGAGTCCATCCCAAAGTCAGAGCACCGGTGTTCCACAAACATGTCATATTCATCAAAGCTGTCGGGGTCCAACAGCAGCAGAATTCGCTCTCTTGCTGTCAGCTTTCCCTGAAAGAGCAAGCGACAATTAATACAGCCATTGGGTGGTTCTGGCTCTGCTCACTGACTACCAGTGGATGAAGTTTAACCAAACAGAGCCTCACTTGATCTGCCACATTTGGCCCATCAAGCAACCACATGCCCCCAAAGCTGGAAATAGCCTATATAGTGATTATCCTCCTTAAAAACAAACACAATGCAAGCCAGACTTTGACAAGGCGGCTGACTATTGGAGCAGCACTACCACAAGATAAAGGAAACAATCTCAGAGTCTTTTCAACAAGCTCTAACAACATCACCGCTATTTTTGCCTGCACATTTAAATGGCACTATCAAGGCCTTTGTTCTATTCTTGAACAAGGCAGCCTTCCACAGCTGAACCAGTCCTTACCCAGCAGCTCAAGGCTCAATTCACCACGCTCAATATTGAGGGAAAAGGAAACACGACAGCCTGCAGGGATCTTCTGACAAAATCCCTTTGTTCTTTTTTCTGTTTGACACTGGTATAAGCAAAAAGCAGAGTAAGGGCCAAGAACAAAATCAGTTGACCAGATATGCGTGTCTCTTGCTCAGCACTAATAATACCATGTGGGAATAAATGATTGCAAAGTTCTTTTTATCTCAACCTCCCAAGCAAATTTGCTATTTCCAACCCAGAACAGTATCTCTCATCAAAGGCCAGGGCACTTGGGTTGTCTTCTTTAGGGGTTGGTGTGACCCAACCTCAACGCGATGGTAAAACATAGCTCAGCTTCTCTGCAAAGCTTCTGACCAACAGGTCAAGAAGTTCATGAGAAAAAAATTAACAAATGCAGGAAAGACAGATGTAAGCCATAGATTTAATATATAAATAACATGGCACATTTGGTGCCCTCAGACATGCATAAATGCTTGCATATTGGTGTGTCGGTGTCCTAAATGTAACTCGGTGAGCCTGCAACTTTTATCGGGTGTTGTGGGAGCGACCCAGCTAATGGGCACACTGACCATTAACACGGCCCTCACATGAACAGCTGCTGCTATCTCCTTGATGCCTACAAGCCAACATGGGACCAAGTCCAGCAAGTAACAATAACTAGAAATAAACAAAGTTGCCACTTGCCCAGCATTGCCTAAATTCTGAAGAGAGGCAAGAGACTAAAAATCCAGCTGTTGCCACCCTTCACATCTGTCTTTTCCTCTGCGTTATTGTCACTCTTCTAGCCTTTTGCTCTCATCTCTTAGAAGACCAGGCTAGATTTGCCACAGCAATACAAAGCTGGGGCTGTGCGGGATGGCACGCCTGCAAGCCCTGTGCAGTGTTAAGCAACCCAGAACTTGCCATCATGTGATGGGCAGAAGTTGCAACTTCTGTCTGTGCCGCCCCTCATATGAGCGCACTACAGCCAGCCCGCTGACAAAACTGATGTAATGAATTATTCTTTTTCTGCCTGGAGCAACAGGTAACGCAGTCTTTAACGCTCTTCAGTAAATCTCCCCTGCAAACCGCAAGGTGCCCCGGGTTTCCAGCACTCCCGCGACTCCCCT